AAAACAAAACGCACCAGTTGCCAATAGGCTTAGGCGATTAGCAAAATTTAGCTGCTGAGATTAACTAGCTCCTCAAATTCTTCAAAAATTTAAATTCGAAATGAGGTCCTTGCCGTCGTCAGTCAGTGTGTTGTCCGCAACGTTACTCAATACACGTTAGGCGTGAAGCCTCGCTGGGAACTAAGTTTTGAACTACAGATTTGAAATCCTTACAGTCGTGCTGCTTTTATCCCTCTGGCATCGAAGCAAACTTTTCTTAGCTCGAATTGGCTTCAATTTTTACGATTGCTCACGGAGTTGAATGAAAACTTATTTCTGATAAGTTTGTTGTGTTTCAGATGCTTCCTGCATCGATACTTCGGCGTTTTCCTAGACTGCATCTACAGGTATGCATTCAGAAAACACTTAATTTTTGAGCAATGATAAGCGGAGCCACTTATTATTGAGCTAGTGCGTTTTCGATCAAGCGATTACGAGAACTGTATACATATCTGGAGCTTTGCTTTCACTTTTACCAATCTCCTCACCTTCAGTCGATGCCGGGTGCACTTAGAGGACCACTTTCTCATCTTTTCCAAAGGAACTCCGCACTATTTCGGTAGCAAGGTGTCCACAGTTTATCATCGAGAGGTGTGCATAGGATGGGAACTTTGCACTATCAGCATTGACGGGGGTTTTGCATGAAATGGGCCTAAAGGCAGTTGGTACAAAGAATTGGTTTTTATTTGAAATGAAAAAAGCTTCTCATGCGGCAATGAACCATAACCTAGGGGAACAGCCTGAGACCCTGAAAGGAGCCTTGGTTGTCCTCATTACCTTCCTTTTGAGAGTTACACCGGTGCTCACGTTGTCAATGCCACTCTGCACTCCCTCTCTGCTAGAAAGGCTAGAGTCCAATGGCGAGAGACAAGTGGCTAGGGTGGCCGGGTAGGGGCCTATTTATCCTTCCTCCAGGCTAAGGAAAAAAAGATCCTTTTTAATTTATTGGTTCCCAACGACACAGTTTCCTCATGTCGCAGTAAATGTCTATTTTTACACACATACATACATTTCAACTAGGCCCCTTTTCAGGGCTACTCTGGTTGGGAAGGCGAAGAAAATTTGAAGGGATTTTTTCTTCTTCTAGCTCGAGAAGGATTTACGGCCCTAGAAGACGGCGACAGTTATATAGATGAGTAAAGCCTCGTTGCTTTCTTCTTCTCTGCGATTGCGCCACATATCTGTCCTTTATTCTACTCCTAAAATATACGCAACCTTTAGTTTAACATCCATTTTACCATGCCACCTGTCCTTAGGAGAGATATCGCGATTTTCGAATGGCTTGCATAGAGCTGTCCTCAAATGCCATGTGATAATGTTTTCTCGCAGATAGCGATCGGATGTGACTCGAATTCAGTCCTTCCGGGCCTAGGAGTAGGCCCTCCATTTCACAGTTCTCCTCGTAAGTGATCATCTCTACAGTGAGCAAATAGTGGCTCATAGAGGGACCGACTCTTCAAGATAAGACCACTGACCTTGTTATCTGTATTTACGCGGTTTTCTTTTCGGCTGTCGCGTCATTACTTACGTAGTGATACACTTAGACGATATCAGCTTTAGTTAGATGATCCTTCAGAAATTTAGCGTGGTTACTAAAATCTTGCTCATAACTTTGAATGATTTCTCACAAGGAAAAGCGTAAGCAACTCAACCAAGGAGCACTGACAAGGAGGTCTTTCAGGGCAAGGTGCGCTTTTTCAAAACGGTTTTGTGCATATTGTAGGGACGCATGTAGGGAACGCAAAACCATTCATTTTCGCTGAACGGTTATAGCAGTACCAAAAAAGAAGCATAAGGTACTGTTAAGGTTCGATCCCCCGTGGCGACTAAATTTTGCATTTGGGTTGGCGCCTACGGTTTGGTGCCAAATCGCGCTAAATATCAAAATCAGATGTCAAATTCATCGTCAGGACCATTTTGAAGCCAACAAGTGGCCGCCAACCTTGATTGCAAAATTTAGTCGCCGCGGGGGATCGAACCATCAAGAGTATTATTCACCACTTTTTTGGTACTACTAAAACCGTTCAGCGAAAACGAAACATGGTTTTGTGGTCCATACATGCGTCCCTACAATATGCAAACCGTTTCCAAAAAGCGCACCTTGCCCTGAAAGACCTCCCTTGTTAGTATTCCTTGGTTGAGTTGCTTACGTTTTTCTTTGTGAGAAATCATTCAAAATTATGAGCAAGATTTTAGCAACCACGCTAAATTTCTGAAGGATCATCTAACTAAG